TGTTTTAATACCTTTCTTTAAAAAAAAAAATATATATATATATATATATATATATATATATATCTTTCGACATGCTGTTTCATGGCTGCCTTGGTGGTCACTCTGACTCCTAGCTCTTTGGTCTCTCTGCCTCTGGATCTAGTCTCAGCCTCCCTGAAACCCCGGCTGCCTGGCAGGAAAGGGGAGTTGAGAGTCCTGCCCATTTTCGGAGACAAGTGTCAGCACCACTTACAGCGGACACTACCGTTCGTGGGGAAGACCCATGTCAAGCTCCTGTCCCTCCAGTCTGGGATCTCTCTGGAAATAAGTGCTCCTGTAAGTTTAGAGAAAATGCATTTCAATTCCCCTTTTCAGGCTAAAAGCATCTGCCTCCTTCACAAAGAAGGTAGTGAACCAGTTATAATTACACACCATACACTGGGGAGCGTGAAAGTGACATTTAGCAACACTTAAGCCTCGGATGTGTGGTGGCTGCAGTAAACATTATATAATTGCTGCAGCATCGATCTCAATAATTAACGCCAAAGAGCAGAGACAGAATGGAAGTTCTCCAAGAAACTGCCACAACGTCAGAGTAAAATGGAGCCCAAAGTCTCTTTTGGAGAGACCTCCCACTCCTCTAAATGTTAAGACTTTTTCTTTTTTAAAAATATTTTCAGTTTAAGCAGTTTTTACTGCAGTTTTCCCAGGGCCGGGGGTCAAGGAAACAGAGAGGCACGCGGAGACGGAAGCACCAGGAAGTGCTCTGATTAGAGTGATCTACTTCTCTGGCCCCTCTGCTCTAGCCCATGAAGTTGGTGACCAGCAAGGTCAGTGTGGCTGGATCACAGGAGGCAAGGATCTGGTCTCAAGACAAGGGACTGAAGAAGTTAAGACCCTGGGGAGCTAAGGAACAACCTTGCCAGTAGGCAATGCAGCCATTCACTGAAGGGAACATTTTGCATTTTGAACGAATCAGGAGTCAGAAAGAGAATGACAATGATTGAACTGTGGGGGAGGAGGAGGGAGATGGGGACAGATCCGAGGAGTATTTAAGAGGTAAAGCCAGCAGGACCTGATGAGTAATGGTGTGTAGGGGAGTCAAGGGGGATCTCCAGGCTCCTGGCTTTGGTGGCTTGGGACACTGGTGCTACTGAACCCTGGAAGGCAGAAAGACAGATTTGGAGGGAAAAGGCAATGTGGTTGAGCGCTAGATACATTTATTATAAGGTGTCTGTGGGGATACTTACATAAAAAGGGAACCTGGAAATATGACTGAGAAGAAAGATCCCGAAATGTGTGGTCACCTGCATGTGGGAAGTGGTTGTCTGTGGAGGTGAGTGAGATGCCTGGGGAGAGGAAATCAGTGAGCAGAAAAGAGGATCAAACACATGCCATCCGAGGAATGGAAAAAGGGAGAGGTGCCAGCCATGAGGACCAAGAAGGAGCAATCAGAGAAGACAAAGGAGAAACAAGGAGAAAAAGGGGTGTCTCAGAAACCAGGGAGAGGAGTTTTGAAATAAAAGGTACACAGCCACGTCTGATGCTGAGGCAAAGAAAAGTTAGATACA